AGCTGCATATTTGAAGTCTACTTCAAATGTAGTTGAACTTCATTCTCGCCAAAAAAAAACTATTAAAACTACATTCCATGACACAAAAACAGTATTTTATTTTTTAAATTATAGTGGATTTGGGCGTCTGTCATGACACTCGCTGTGAGAAATACAGTAAGCGGAGTGATACAAACAGTGAAGCAGTTGGAGTTTTATTATCACTCTAATATCATATTCTTATCAGACAATCAGATTCTAGGACCAGAAAGAACTATTGTATAAAATAGTATATAAGTAATACTAAAATAACAGATATAACGTTTTGTCATGCAGCGTTCTAACACACTTCCACAGCCATGATCCAGCCTGATCTAATTTCAGATCCCCGACTGAGCTTTAGTGTACTTACTAATGTTCCTTCTGATGATTCAGAGAAACACTGAGCTCTTCTCCGTCATTACTCTGTTTCCTTTGTACAGCTGCCAATAAAGCACATTAAAGCTCAACACACAGAGAGAGTGTGTAATTTAGCGAGATCACTGACTCAAGGTCATTAGTTAAACTCTGCTGATGGGTAAAGGGTTAGAAAGCTCTTGTATGAAATTACATAAATTTTCTGTTCAGAGTAATTTTAATGTGAACTCGTTGAGAAACTCGTTGAGAAAGTGCCGTCTTGAGAATGGCAGGCTTATTGTGACCCGCTGCATATTTATGACTCTTGTTTTCATACCGTTTCCATTATTCATGATAAGAACTTAATAGAAGCTAGAGGGGACGCAAAACAAAAACTCTGGGAGTCTCTCTGAGCTTTGAGTTTGTGATTTAATCTGTCGTTCACGTTGGGCTTTGCATGATTGTATTTGATAGCTTGTGTTTGGATGTGAGCGGATATCACAAATAGCCCTGCATATACACCTGTAGAGCGAGACGAGAGCCACCGTCGCCTCCAATCACACGCCGCTCCAGCGGCCTGACAGGGCATTCTGGGTAATTGGCTGTGGCTAAATCGCAGCGGCGCCGGGGGTCACGCACAGATCAGGCCGATTCGAAGCGAACGGGAGACTAGCGGAAGCGAGCTCAGGACAGCACACGCCACATCAGTGCGACGGTTTCACACGGCAGACACACGATCACATGTGAAGTGCGGCTCACGGTTAATTACTGTGATTCACGGAGTGCTTGGACTCTCAGCCGTTAACGAAGTGCTGCACATTATCCTGAAAATCAAAAGCATTGTGCAGTGAGTTTATAATACCATCCAAATATAGACTAAAACAGACAAAAACAGTATAATAAAATATTGATACATAATAAATAATGCTAAATAACACTAAACAATAAATAATAATAATAATAATAATAATAATAATACAATATACAAATAATAATAAACATTGATAAATAATAAATAATGCAAAATAATACAAATAAACAATGAACAAGAAATAATAATAATAATAATAATAATAATAATAAATAACACTAAATAATAATAATAATAATAATAATAATAATAATAATAATAATAATGCTAAATAATAATAAACAACAAAACTAATAATAGCAATAATAACAATAATAATACTTTTATACATATTAATTAATTAATTAAACCCATTTTCCTGTCACTGGTCTTGCTGTAAACTGACAACACAAAGCGTGACTCAATATTAAATGAGAAATGATTTGGAGGGACAAAATAAAATTAATTTCCAGGAGGGAAGATGACAAGCTTTGTCATGTTGATTTTATTGTGAGACTGAGATGAATGTAGATCAAAGTCTCATTCTGAAACGGATTAGAACATCAAATCCATCCTGCAGTTATAAGCGATTCACGTCGGGATGTGTGTGTGTGTGTGTGTGTGTGTGTGTGAGTGTGTGTGTGTGTGTGTGTGAGTGAGTGCTAATAAATAAGTTGCAGCACTTACTGAGGTTACAGTCTATCCTGATACAGTCTGGTGGGAGAGAGAGTGAGATGGTGAGATCAAATTAAAGGAAAGAGAGAGAGAGAGAAAACATTTCACATCCTTCAAAGTTGATTCTGCAGACATCTGAAGATCAGGGCCACCATCCGGGGACACGCTTGAGTCAGCGGCACCCGCTCCCTTCACACGCGTGTTAGTAACCGCAGGCGCTCCGCTCGTCTAGACCGGTCCGAGCCGGATCAGACCGTCTGACTGAGACTGTGCAATACTGACCAACACTTTACAATAACCACCCATCAGTTAACAAAGCTCACTTTAGCTCAGTTATATACATCTACTGAATCAGATTTAGTGTGGAAACTTCTTCTAAATGATCAACATGATCAAACTCTGCTGTTTCATACTCAATCTCCTGCATGTCTTCTGTCTCTGATTGAGAGTTTAGAGTGTTTTATCCAGTAAAAGCTCTTTTAGTGTAATTGTAGAAACACTTCTCGTGTCAGATCTTGACTGATTTTTATCAAGTAAGCATCAGAATAACGTCAGTAATATCTCCAGATGAACACTTACTGGACTGAAGCAGCTCAGCTTTACTTGATTCTCCATCAATCATGTTTTAGAGTCTCAAATCTGATCCTCAGGATCTTTTGAGGAGCGTTTGTTTCCAGAAGCTTTACTTTCACTGTTCCTCAGCGGAGGAATGATCTTCACAAGCCTCCAGAACATCTCACATCTTCACATTTTGTGTCAGAATCTGCTGCGCTGTTATAAAGATCTCACTGATTTACATCACACTCTTAAAAATAAAGGCTCCAAAAAGGTGTTTTTGCAGTGATGCCATAGAAGAACAATTTTTGGCTCCACAAAGAACCTTTCAGTGAACAGTTCTTAAATTAAGAATCTTTATTTTTAAGAGTGTACAAGCATCAGAATTTCATCATATAAATTATTTTAATATAATATATTTTTGAGTCATAAAATTGAGCTGTTTTCCTATTCTCACTATATCAGATTATATGAGCCATAAAAGCACAATAAAAGCCTATTTTCTTTGAATATTTCTTTAAATGTTTAATAAACTTTCACTTTTTTAGACTATTATGTGATATTTCAGGCTTAAGAGGTAAATGACATTAAACAAATACAACTTTTGTTTTTAATAATCTATTAGTAAATGTTAAATCAACATTAACTGGGATTAATAAGTGCTTCAGAAGTATGTGTCACTGTTAGTTCATGTTAACTAATGGAACCTCATTGTAAAGTGTTATCAACTGATCGCTGCATCTCCTGCTGCTCAGAGTTCAATCGCTTATTGCTCAGTAAATGATGTATTTGGTCAGCAGTCAGGAAATAAGAGTGATGAAGTACAGTTAACTGCTGTGCTGTTTCTCCATAAACATGAGTGAGGAAGATGAGCGTGAAGCGCTGCGGTCTGGACCTGCCGCTGTGAATTGTGGGAAGGGGTTTCACTGCACTCCTCAGCCAGAAACACATCTACTGTGTGACACTGAACACAGCGCTGAGATTTACACTGAGGAGTGTGTGTGTGTGTGCTGCATCTGCGGCTCAGGCTGAGGAGCGTCTCAATGTGTCAACCGCTACAGAATAGTGATCACAAACAGCCAGAGACCGTCTAGACTCTAAACACACTCACTTCAGACCTGACGCTTCTCTGCCGGATCAAGAAACACGCCTGCAGTCAATCTCAGATTTATGCTTTTGAAATGCATATGAACAACATCCTACTGTTTGGACACACAGTTTAAACATAAACTGATACATCGTACAGAAATGAAACGGGTCAGATTTCTGTAAGAGTGCTAATAAACTGAATGTGTTTTAAACACAGTAACAATTATATATTACACACAATACACTATTATATATGTATTTATAATCAATAAATCCAATTTGTTTCAATCTCATACATTAACTGAATACTATTTGTTCCACAGCAAGGTTATTATAGTTCATTATAATTTAAATTTTAATAATAATAATGTCTCAAAAATACAAAAAAATTATTTTATTTGTTTATCTAGCAACATTTATGTATTATACATATCAGGGTTATTATAGTTCACTAAAACTCAAACTAAACTTTAAAAATTAAAACTATAAAAATATTTTTGTTACTAGAAATAAATAAACAATCACTGAAATAAAACTTTTATTTCAGTTAGTTTCTCAAAAAATCTTAATTTAACTCCATTTACTAAAATAACTAAAACAAAAAGTACGTAGACCAAAAATGACAAAAAAACACAACAATGTTACTAAACTTGAACTAAAACTAAAATTAACATAGAAAGTATACAAATACTGATTCAAGTGATACTAAAATAACATTAGCCATATTCGTACCATGCTCATACACTTAAAATAACCTGAATATTCTTTGTTTACAACAATTTATGCTGATTCTGAGCAATTTCAATAAATGCATCTAAAAATATGATTATTTAAATGAAATTAAACAGACAAAAATAGTAAATAATAAACTATGCCATGATTTTTTGAGTACAAAGATCTGGTTTATTTCTGTATGACTGACAGTTATGCATATGTTTATTAGTTTGCTGCTGATAAAACTGTGTGATCCAGATGGATGGGAATTTTTCATGCGACTCGAACGCATCAATCAACTCTTATTAGGCCTGATTATGTGAGTGGCGGTGCATTAGCAGAGCTGGAGAGTGTGAGCCGGTCTCTGGCTGTTCGCTCAGGCCGCAGACAGACACCACATTGAAGGGACTCGAGGTTCCTCTGGAAAGCTCCAGGTGACTGACAGAGAGAGAGACAGATGGATGGAGGTCTTCCCGAGAGGCTTTCTCTCCCACCACGTCCTTTCCCAGGATGCACCGCTGCCCTGTGTTTGCCTCTCCGCCAGAACCAGACCCGGACCAGACCAGAACTACACTAAACTCTGCAGGAATCAGAGTCTGGATTCACAGAAAAACACCCTTCAAAGCAGACACGCTCACTGCAGCAGCAGCAGAAGATCAAACCCTGAACGCGTCGCTGGTTTGAACATGAAGGCTTTACAGTGACATGCTTTAGTTTTACACTGCTCTGCAGTTTAACTGGCTTAAATATAAATATGAATTAATTTGATGTGACCAAAACACACATATAGTGAGCTAAAATATTTGTTTATATTTTACATGTTTAAGTAAGTTAAGTAATTCTAGTCATTTTTTATTAGTTTTTATTATGTCTATATAATTTTTATTTATATAGTCAAACTAAAATGAGAAATAAAATAAGTTGGTAACACTATACTTAAAGCCTTTATGTGTAATGCATTATAAAAGTAGTTTTAATGCATTAATTATGCCTTGTAATGCACCTTATAATGCATTGTACAATCTCATTAATAATTGTAACCACAGTTAATACATTATAACACATATCAATTAATTCTTACAATATGCATTTTAAATTTGGTTATAATTATTTATGACAATATGTATTACAACGCACATTATGAATAATTATAATGCATTATAGCCTTTAATAACCCTTTAAAATGCATTATACATAAAGGCTTTAAGTAAAGTGTTACCAATAAATTTAACTTTTATACATTTTATAAATATCTTGCACAATTCTTCTAGTAAATGTGTCTTGTGATGATTTGTTACTAAGAAAACACTGATTACACTGAGACTCAGATGGAATCAGATTTCAGTCACTAATAACAGAGATCTGGCTACAAATGAAAGGGTTGTTCTGCCCTCTGCTGGAGGACGGTGTGGTTTACAGGCCGGGTGGCTGGCGGAGGACAAACACTGGGCGAGATCTTGAGATGGTTCAGGGGAGGAGAGGTCAGACAGAGACAGACGGGTAGTTACCGAGGTTGACAGTGAGTTTGACCCGTCCTCCGTCCAGCTCCAGCCGCAGCGTGTCGGCCGACTCTTTGGAGGTGGTGGCCACGAGCAGCCCGTACGCCCGCTGGGACATGAAGCGCAGCGCCACATCCTCCGCCTCCGTGTGCAGCGTGCTGGGCATGATGATCTTCAGATACATGCTGCCATCATAGCTCAGAACCGTCGCCTCTGCACACACACACACACACAGTAAACACAGCGCAAACACACACACACACCGTAAACACAGCGCAAACACACACACACACACAGTAAACAGACACACACTTACATATATAACCACAAATGCACACACACTCACAAAGTAAACTAACACACACACACACACACACACACACACACACACATAATATACAACCCACACACACACACACACACACACACTCACGCGTAAACACAGCGCAAACACACACACCGTAAACACACACCATATAAACACACCATAAACACACAATAGGAACTATACACATGATAAACACACACATCAAAACACCGTAAACAAACAACAAACCCACCATAACCACATGATAAACACATGATATAAACACAGACAATAAACACATGACAAACACACACATCACACCATAAACACATGATAAACACAGACAATAAACACATGACAAACACACACATCACACCATAAACACATGATAAACACAGACAATAAACACATGACAAACACACACATCACACCATAAACACATGATAAACACAGACAATAAACACATGACAAACACACACATCACACCATAAACACATGATAAACACAGACAATAAACACATGACAAACACACACATCACACCATAAACACATGATAAACACAGACAATAAACACATGACAAACACACACATCACACCATAAACACATGATAAACACAGACAATAAACACATGACAAACACACACATCACACCATAAACACATGATAAACACAGACAATAAACACATGACAAACACACACATCACACCATAAACACATGATAAACACAGACAATAAACACATGACAAACACACACATCACACCATAAACACATGATAAACACAGACAATAAACACATGACAAACACACACATCACACCATAAACACATGATAAACACAGACAATAAACACATGACAAACACACACATCACACCATAAACACATGATAAACACAGACAATAAACACATGACAAACACACACATCACACCATAAACACATGATAAACACAGACAATAAACACATGACAAACACACACATCACACCATAAACACATGATAAACACAGACAATAAACACATGACAAACACACACATCACACCATAAACACATGATAAACACAGACAATAAACACATGACAAACACACACATCACACCATAAACACATGATAAACACAGACAATAAACACATGACAAACACACAATCACACCATAAACACGTTATACACACACTTTAACAAACAATAGAAACTATAAACGTGATAAACACATGATAAACACACCATAAACACATGATATAAACACATGACAAACACACACATTACACCATAAACACATGATATAAACACACAGTAACAAACAATAGAAACAATAAACATGATAAACACAACATCACACCATAAACACGTTATACACACACTTTAACAAACAATAGAAACAATAAACGTGATAAACACATGATAAACACAACAAACACACCATAAACACATGATATAAACACAGACAATAAACACATGACAAACACACACATCACACCATAAACACATGATATAAACACACTTTAACAAACAATAGAAACAATAAATGTGATAAACACACACATCACACCATAAACACATGATATAAACACACAGTAACAAACAATAGAAACACGTGATAAACACATGATATAAAGACAATAAACACATGACAAACACACACCATAAACACGTTATACACACACTTTAACAAACAATAGAAACTATAAACGTGATAAACACATGATAAACACAACAAACACACACCATAAACACATGATATAAACACAGACAATAAACACATGACAAACACACACATCACACCATAAACACATGATATAAACACACAGTAACAAACAACAGAAACACGTGATAAACACATGATATAAAAACACCATAATCACATGATAAACCCTGGATTTTGGTTCTCTAAGGTCTTTGAAACAGGTGGTGCTTCACAGAGATAATGATTCACACATCTACATCACTTTAGCCTTCATACAGCACAACAATTATAAACAAACAAACGAATAAGTAGGGCAGCTAATGTCAAAAAGGTTTCCACTAACTGGATTTTTGAGATGTGTGTGTATGTGTGTGTTTCTACACTATGTTTACTAATCACATAAATGTAATCACATTCAATTTATATAACATTATATATACAAATTTGTAAGTAATTATAAATATACCTATTATAAACAATATATAAATATTGGTAACACTTTATAATAACGTTCAGTTGTAAGTCACTTATAAGTTAATGATGAACTAATCATTTACAAAACATGACTATGTGTTCATAAATGATTAGTAAGTGATATGATAATATTTGTATCTATGTTTTGTAGGTTAAGTTATAAATCATTAGATGATGATGAACTTATAAATGACTTACAACTGAACGTTATTATAGAGTGTTACCTAAATATGTATTATTACCGCAGAATACAGTTTCATGATCAGTATGTTGAAAGGCATCAAATGGTGTCAATTTGCCAACCATTGACACGTCTGACAAATAATGAGGACCTTCCTACAGTACAAACACACACTGAGCACATCTGATCTTTAGTGTAATTCTGTCCAGTGACGCTTGGTGGCAGTAAAGCACTGCTCTGCAGCCGCTTCTAACCGGCCTTCAGAGATCAGCAACATGACACACGGTAAATAAAACAGCTTTACTTCACAGCACAACATCTGGCTGTTGGAAATAAATATGTTTAATAAAACAAACGGGCTTCTTTTAAACAGTCGGCAAATGCAGCCGAATCCAAATCAGCCCTAATTACCCACCTGCTCGAGCTCTGACAGCGAACACTATGAATCAAAACCACGGAGAGAGGAAATATTCTGCGTTGAAGGCCCTTGAGCTCAATGTCAGCGAAACACTCAGACAATCTGTGGATTCAGAGCTGCAATGCTGCTGTTAGAGGCGTGGGCCTGAGACGGAGCAGCTGGTGTCGTTAAAGGCGGCACAGATGGTTGTGGTGAGCATCGCTGCTCCAGTGCTTCTCCCGGCTCGTGACATCGGCTCTTTCCCGCCAGCATGAATCAGGATGCCACAGCCAGCCGAACGCAAAGAAATGAAGCGCGAACGGCGGTGTTTCGCAGCTCTGTGTGCGCCTGATAAAAGCGTCACGGATGGGCTCAAGCTAGTGCTAAATATAACCACTGAAAGAAGCTACAGAATGCGACTTCAATGCAATATAACACAAGATTTACATATTATCCTGTCAGATCTGGACAGCTGACCGAATGTGCTGCATGTCTTTTAAGTCTTGCCAGTTGAAACATTTATGAACCATTTAATTGCAAGAAGACAGAACTCCATACATAACTCCATACATGCTCACACACACGTAAAGCCGCCTCATTCAAACCTCGCGTGAATGCTGAACTGAGTTCTCTTTCGCTTCTTCTTGCACTTGAATCCACATATAAACACATAATTGTCAAAATGCGCGTCTTGGCGAGTAACATGGTCGGTTACGTCTTAAGTGTATGTAAATTGTTAACATCAAAATAAAAATGTAGATGAGTTTGTTCATTGGAACAGATTTGGAGAAATGTCATAAATCTACCGAGAGAGCAGCCGTCAGAATGAGAGTCCAAACAGCTGATAAAAACATCACAATAATCCACAAGTAATCCACAGCACTCCAGTCCATCAGTTAACATCTGGAGAAGACAAAAGCTGAAACTAATCCAGCATTAAGACGGTTTTAATATTTGTTAAGAGCTGTTTAAACGCTGCTTGATCTGTGCAGATTTCTCTCCTGATTAAGACCAGAACACTTTTTCACTGGAGGAAGACTTATTATGGATTATGGACTCAATGTATTTTAGTTAAAAGCGTCTTAATGCTGGATTTGTTTCAGTTTTTGTCTTCTCCAGATGTTAACTGATGGACTGGAGTGCTGTGGATTACTCGTGGATTATTGTGATGTTTTTATCAGCTGTTTGGACTCTCATTCTGACGGCACCCATTCACTGCAGAGCATCCATTGCTGAGACACTGATGCAGTGCTACATTTCTACAAACCTGATGAAGAAACAAACTCATCCTGATCTCGGATGGACTGAGGGTGAGCACATTTTCAGCACATTTTCATTTTTGGGTGAAGAATACATTTATATTTAATACAGTGCAGGCTCCGCAGTGTTGTTTTACTTTTGATTACTTTATTCAGTTTCTGTGCCTGAGTACTGCAGTTATATCTAGCTGGAAACATCAAGCACTGTTTGTTTCATTAGTAGCTGTGTTCTCTGGTTTTACCCACCGATCTCACAGTTGCCTCCCAGGAATCCGGTGCCGGTGCAGTCGCAGATGTAGCGGTTCCAGCCCTCCTTGCACTGTCCTCCGTTGGCGCAGGGGGCGCTGCTGCACCTCTTCTGGAGCTCGCGCGTGCAGAAGCTGCTGACGCCCGGCACGCTCTGGATCTCCGCCAGACGCCGCACGTCTCGACTCTTGCCGTCTATGAACAGGTCGCGGACGCAGCCCACGTAGCCGTAGTTGAGCAGCGCGGTCCAGACCTCGGGCGGCAGGATCAGGCCCTGACCGCTCTCCGGTAAACCACCCAGATACATGTCACTGTCCAGGTCCAGGATCTCACTGCCCTCGTTAGAGCTGAAGGGAATGGAGCGGCTGTTGACGGAGATGGAGCCTGGCCAGAAGATTCAAGAGTCAAAAAACTTTATCATCTATCAACCAGTAGCTATGTTTCCATCCATCCACCTATTTGTATGTGCACTTTGGAATATCGCATAAAAAAACACTGGATGGAAACCAGTTGAGTAGGATAAACTACGATGGAAACACATTTACTGAATAAATTCCTCCATGCAATGCGCATCGAAAAAGTCATGTGAGTTTGCGCTATGAGACGGGATAACCTGACTAGCAGCGGACCGATCTTGTTCACTGCATCTATATGTTGTTATGGTCGTTCTGAAATACCCGAGTAAAGTCTGTCGTCAAAGTATTTCTGTGTAATTGTCTTACTTTCGATAGTCCACTTTAGACATTCTACTAACTATAAGTAACTACATGTCAACTTACATGTCAACTAATTCTCATTAATTTGCAACTACATGTCCACTAACTCTCAGTAGGGTAGGTTTAGGGTTAGTAGAGTAAGTTGACATATACTTGCAAAGTTTCTCATAGTCAGTATGTTGTGGACCCATCAAAATAAAGTGTTAGCAGATATTAAGCAGACAGTCTACTAATACTCTAATGACTGCTAGTTGACGCATAGTTGCAAAGTTACTTACTGTTAGTAGAATGTCTAAAGTGGATGATCCAGATAAAGTGTTACGTCCTCCTCTGAAAGCAATGGCGGCATTTATTGTGTTTCGTCTGCTCGCTCTGAGACGCAAGTCATTCATCATAATTATTATATTCAGTGGCTTCTCCTAGTTTTCTTGGTGATATACAGTGCAAGTTTATCAGGAAGGGACGATTTTGTTCTCTTGGACTCGTTGGATGGAAACGGTGCTTTATTCGCAAACATTTTATGTGATATTCATAAATTTAACTCGAATCTTTGGATGGAAACATAGCTATTGATAGAAATTTGTCTTAGGTAAAAGGCTCACATATACACAATACAAAAAAGCTCACGCGACAACCAAACCACAGTTAATCCACAACAACTCCTCTAGAATAAATAACAACAAACCTAAGATACAAGATCCTGACAAACTGCTTGGCCTTATTTAGAATATAAATTGCATTACTATAAGCCTTCCTTCTGGCCAAAGGAGTTCTGAACTGACAACCTGATGCTGAAAGAAGTAATGCAAAGCATGAGAGGGGTCCGCAACAAAAGCTGCTTTTCTCTTTACACTGTTATACAGATCTAACAGTTGAGTCTGTGGGTACCCAATCATTTTAGATGCCTGCCTGATTACGCTTGATCGTTTTTTATCAAGAAGTGTGCATGAGCGATATTTCGGCATGAGCGCTGCTCTCTCGGCAGATCGCAGAGATTTATGACTTACTCTTAATTGTCTATTAAGCTGCAATTACAGAACTGCTGGACTTTCTTCCCCACAGGACACACGCCCACCTCCTCTAGTCTTACACTCGATTAGCCCATCACAGCAAATGGAGCAGCCTTTGGCAGCGTCGATGGGGTTTAACAGCGTCTCGTTGGCCGCGCTTTAGCAGCGATACGTGCTGGAGTGAATGCTCTACAGCAGCCATATTCCAAACCCGTTCGAGCTCAAACTTCAAATTTCTGTAGCTCAAACAATAGAGTGTGGCGTTAGCGACGCTGAGGTAATGGGTTCGATTCCCAGGGAATGCAAGAACTCATACAAACATTCAATGCAATGTGAGTCGCTTCGGACAAGCGTCTGCCAAATGAATTAATGCACTCGTTATTTCATGTGTATCTTTGCTCTGTTGTATTTATTTGTGCTAGTGCTTGTGATTTGTGTATTTGCTCTTAGTTTATTACTGAATGTTTACTTGTCTTGATAGGTATAGGCTGAACTTTATATTAGGGCAGTAGATGTTACTGTGGTTTTAAAACTGGAATTGGGAATTATGAAATTATGTTAGTATCTAAAACATTGGTGTCAAAACCTTATTTATTAGAATACAAGGTTAGATGGGTGAAAAACAACGAAAGCAGTAACTATTATTTATTTATGGACGATGGCTATTTATACACTTCTCTAATTAACACTGATGACTTGCAGGAAAACAAATAAAATATTTAATGTTTCTGTAAGTGTTTTATTTTGATTTTTGATTTTATATTATTTGTTTTTATTTTGATTTTTTTTTAAATAATTGTTGACAGTGTAGAGCTGCATGATTTGGTCCAAAATGTAATTATTTTGGCATATATTGTAATTGCAAATAGAACTGCCATATGATAGACATTTAATCTCATAACAAAATGTCTAAAATTGCTGTTGCTGAAACATCCAGAGAAAATAATCAAAGAGACCATTTCAGTAGTAACAATAATAATAATTAGTATTAGTATTAGTATTATGTTAAACTAATCATAAAAAAATAAAAATAATAATAATATGTGTCCCTGAAGGACAAAAGCAGTGTTAAGTCGCTGGGGTATATTTGTAGCAATAGACAACAATACATTGTATGGGTCAAAATTATACATTTTTCTTTTATGCCAAAAATCATTAGGATATTAAGTAAAGATCATGTTCCATGAAGATATTTTGTAAAT